TTAGTTTTTAAACGGCACTAAATAGCATCTTCGACCTACAAATTTATTATATTATTAATGTACTTATGTAAATATTTGGGGAATACCCGAGGAATTTTTTTACAATACATTTTAATCACTTTATAAAGGTACAGTTGGTTAATACACAATAATAATCGTGTTACTACACGTCTCGTTCAACATCGGTCGATCGATAAAGTCAGTAATCGCTAAAGAAAAACATTTGTATATCGACCTACGATCGGCTTAATAGTGTTACGACGAAGTACCTACTTATTTAAGATTTTCTGAACATTTCTAAATCAAAATTCAAAAACTAAAAAAAAGATATGAATTGCACAAAATCAGTATTTTATTATATTCTGCTATTTGCAAGTTAAAATTAATCTGTGTGAATTGTAATATTCAGAACTTGATAATCATAAAGACTAAAAATGTTTATCTATACTAATCTAGGTTCAAGGATCTTCTTTAGCATTTTGAAAATGTACTGTTAATTTTAGTTATAGGTACTAATTTAATATTAATAACACTCTACTTGTGACGTTATTTCTACTCGTCTCGAATTTCGTATATAATAGCCTTACAATAATTACCAATAGGCAATAACATTGTTGTTTTTATACTAACAGTATTTTAACAATAATACAAATTATTATAGGTAAAAGGCACTGAATAAGAAATACCATTATCGTTAGGTAATTGTGCATTTTATCCATATTATATTCACATTAAATTAATTAATTTAATAATTGAGTATAGGTAATTAATTACATTTAATACAATAACCAGCTTTCACTGACACAAAATGGTAGAAATTATTGACATTTTTGAGGAATTTGTGCAACAGTGAATTATCCAAACTGTTATTTTCAATTATATCTTAACAGTGTCATTTCAGATTCTGAGAGGAACGATGAGTGTATAGATTTAACAATGATGTGTTTTTATCTTGTTTATTTTTGTCTATTGCACGATAACTACCTACCTAGTTGAAATAATTCTTCGATATTAAACTTCAGTATATTTTCCGATAGGAATGTGGATCCATAGTTGAGCATTCAAGAGGTCAAAATTTAAAATTACCATTGGTAAGCGCCGGGAAAAACAAAAAAAAAATTAATGAAAAACGGAGATTTTTAAGGAAAACTGCAGTTTTTGACAAATTCGATTTAACTGTAAAAATAATAACCGTTGATACATGAAATTTTCACTGAATGTTTATATTAGCATTTTTTATACACCATAAAATATTTTGACTCTTGTTGAACTATTTATATGCATATGAAATGGTAGACTATTATTATTATTTTTAAAAATCATTTTCGTTTGATTTCATGAAAATGTAATACAAGGTTTCTCGTAAGTTAGTGTTAGTGGATATTAAGAAAAAGTTGAGCGTAAGTCTACAATCATTTTTTAGGAGCATTAGAATTTTTTTTGACATAATTCGCAACAATCATGAAAATTATTTTTAAGTAAGAAATTCGTAAAAATTTGTCTTTTTAAATCTAAGATTTGAAAAATCATTGCGACATTCCTCATAAACTTGTCTAACGTTATCAAAAAAAAAAAAGGAAAAAAAATGTCTATCGGAAAGTCAAATTAAATTTTTACTAGCGTTTAAAGTTTAATTTTTTACAACATTGGATAATTCACTCGATTTCTCATTTTCTTATATTGTTGTAATTCAAAAAAGAATAACTGTAGATACTTGAAATTTACACTATATTTTCCTATACTTGATAAAATTTCGACTTGTTTTTATCTGCCTACGGACATTTTCAGTATTCGATTTGTTATTGAGTCAAAACGCTTGAATATGTAATGCAAGGCCTCCCACATTGTTACAATATCAGTTTAAAAATATTAAAAATACATAGGCAAGGTTTTTTTAAAAAAGCATTTTAAGTTCAAATGTATAAAATGTGCAACTTTTATAGCTAAAGATTGAAAATTTAAAAAAGTAAGTAAGTAGTTAGTTCTGAAACCTAAAAATCTAAAAATTATATTAACACAGTTTTTTAGTTATTTTAAGTTTAAATTTGAACGAAATTACACCCTAAATTCCATAATAAACCCAAAAATAACAATTTTAGTTAATTTGTTGTAATTCAAAAATACTATTTGTGACTACTTGAAACTTTTAGAGTAGGTAGGTATATTATTATATTTTATACACACAATGACAATTTGAATTTAAGTATTATGAATTTAAGTCTAACCTACTGTAGTACTAATGCATAATAATAAAAAAATTAATTACTTAAATCACAATAATATCTTAAAATATGCCTACTTAGAAATTTTATGGCTATACACCGTCTTCGCTCAGAATGGTTTTTTGTATAGAATGATTTTACATCATTGAATTCAAATTTAACACTCATTACCGCGACTCTTTAGACACCTAATGTACAGCAGAGCTACATCCACTTTTTAGAAATGTAACTCACTGAAGTATTAATTTAAACCTTAACATTTGAATTCAAGTTTAATTTTCATAATATATAGGTACCTATTTACTCTGTATGCATTACATTAGCATTACTTCATAACCTACTTTAATGAATGTTTTTAAATTATAATCTATAATCATTTACTATAAGTGTAAGTAAATTTAACTTTTAAATACATACTAGGGTACATACTCCTATAAATATCATATGAATACATTACACACTAAGTTTTGGTAAAAATTGTTTTTCAGATGTTCAGATTTAAATTTATAATAAAGAAATAAACTGAAGATAAAAGTAACGATTAATAAATAATAAGTAAATGATAACTTCTAACAAATAACACTTGGCATTAAATTAAAAAAAAAAACAGAATTTAATCATAATTTAACCGCATAGGTAATTTAATTAAATCTGACTTTTAATTTACTCTTAAAAATTAAACCATTAAAGAATATAAAATATATTAATGAATTTTTGTTTATAAATTATTGCTATTGGTTATAGGAGATATTCAGTAGAAATAAGTATTTTTTTATTTATTGGTTGCCATTGGTCAATCAGGCAGATCAGGTACAAGCATGCATCAAATTTAATGTTCACACATTACCTATCAAGGTGGCTGAGTTGCACTTATGGCCGCTAATCATTGTATCCGAAATCAAAATAAAAAAATTAAAATTAAACATTTTATTCACATAGAGAACGCACCAACTGCAGATGGATTGCCTACCTGATAATAATATACTGTGCGCTTTACCACCAGCGAATCTCATATAGAGTTGGCATTTTTAACAGGCAACAAAGTGTATTTTATCAGCTAGTATATTATAAAGGTCAATAGTCAAACATTGTCAGTATAATGTTTGCTGAAATTTAAAACTAAAAGGGGATCAATTAGACATTAATTATCTTCCTAATTTCATATGTAATAATAATAGAGGTAGTACATGTTTTAGAATGGGTCAAGTTTGTTATGAGTGGCACATGGTGAGGCATGTATATATTTAATTCAAATACAAACATGTACGTGTATTATTTTATCATAACATAATAAATTAGCATACACTAATTACTCTCTAATACTTATCATTTAAAAATATCTATAATTTTAATTTCCATTTAAAATACAAATAGATTGGTTCATTTGTTAAAAATAAAGTAAAAATTTAATTTATTTTTTAAATGTTAGGTTTTTTGAAAATACATATTTATTTCATATTAGGTACCTGGGTATTGAAGTAATATTCAATTTTTAAATTTCAAACTATAGGTTTTAATAATTAGGTATTTATTTTAATAGGCAAAAGAGTACAACTAAAGATTGTATAGTGCATATTGTACCTACTCACAAATTTTATTTTAAAGTACCTACTGATCTACCTGCCTGTTAATCTAAAATCAAAACAAAAAATACTACCATCGACTACCATACACAATATCAGTAGACAGTAAATTATAAAAATAGGTTGTGACACCTCTTTACATTCCAAGTAATTAACAATCTATATGTTTATCAAAAATAAAGTTATGTAGGTACAACATTATAAATTCTAATGGTTATAGGAGCCAAATATACATTTAATTAAACCAAGATATTATGTAGGTACGGTATATCTACCTACAATACTAGCTAAGATAACCTAAACCAACATTTTTGATTACAGTGTTCCTCATATAGAAGAGGATATCAACAAATTTATGTTGTCAAGAATTTATACATAACAAAGTGTGTATTATAATTCCTTTACATAATTAATATACAAACATAAAACTTAAAGACAAAAAATATGTATACATATATTTTTCCTAAAATTAGGCCTAAATACAATTACTTATTAGCTAGGTAGGCGGTAAACTATCATTCATTAACTGACTGAACATTTGATATGTATGTATTAACTGTGATAGGAAAAGTGTTAGAATCATCTATGGAATTTTCTTTTCAATTGTACCTATATGAGCTTTAAATGCACTGTGCACAGCTGCTATATCTCATGCTACATAGATATATATAATACACATTATTTGATATTACTTTGTTAAGGTATAACTAGCCAAACAACAGCTGCAGTATCAATATCCTAACATTAACACTGATAGCACATTTGAATAAAATAACATATATATAAGAATAAACAGGTTGTAGCTTAATTCAATATTAATTTTACAAACTAATGTATTATTATAAAACTGAGCGAAAAGTTGTACTTTATACTTTGTCAAATTTTGATGCATTAGTAATTCATCAATGACCCCAAGTGCCAGGTGGTGGGTGCATTAAAATACTAAGAGAATAGGGAATGCTCGTAGGAATACTGCAAGTTTAAGCAGTTTGATTTGCACACAACATTCTTTCATCATATTGTAGATCTAAACTGGAAATGAAGTTCTGTAAGTGGTAGGTACTAGAATACTAGAGTACTATGGGTACCCAGTAGATCTGAGGCAAAGGAAGGAGGATAGTACCCAAACACCAAGGTGGGGTGAAAATGTTCAAAAATTATCATATTGTATTTGTCTGAAATTTTATTTTCTTACCTAGTACAGATAATTTTCTGGAGAATGAATGACGTTTTGCAGTGGCGTCTACAAGACGCCAAATCCGGCTACCGGGCAGCGTTTAGTAGTGGTCATGTTACTTTAAGGTGACCAGAATAAACGACCTGGTGATCTGTAGACTGGCGGTACGGTGCGGCTACTAGACGCGTGAAAATTAAAATTAATTAACGGAGAAAAAAAACAATAAATAGGTACGCCGACAATGAAAAACGATTTTTTACACACGTGAACGACGGTCGTTACGATACGCAAAGGCGTTTGCGACAAACGATAGGCAATAAAAATCGATGAGCGTTGGCCGTGGGCGAACGGTTCAACAAATCATTTTTTTCTTAAAATTTACATTAAATAGGTACCTAAAAAAAAATAATTTCACTAATGTTTTACAATTTATGTTGTTACTATATTATTCACACACTCGCACGAGAATTATAATTTCGCCGGTCACAAACAGGACGCGACGAGATCTACAGCTCCGGAGACGACTTTTATGGGCTTTTCCCACTTTTCGTTTCCTTTTCGATCTCTAGGCGCCGCGGGTCCCGTCTCGCTCTTTCTCCCACGCACTGCCCCGTTTGGTCTACGTCGGTCACACATGCACACACAACAATGTCAATGTGACGGAAATACGAAATGCACGCGAAATCGCACACACACGCGACCGCACATACACGCGTGTAAATACACTCGCCCGCGCACACACACAAACGCGTACGGTCCGTGCTTGCCGTCTTATCATTAACCGCATCCAGTGCGCCACGGTTATCACGCCGCTCTCTCATGGAACAAACGCGGTACCACCGACGACGACGCCCGACGGACCCGGCATTTCGACTTCTCGTCATTGTTCCTTACTTAAGAAATGGTATAATAATAATAATAATAATAATAACAATAATAACAAAAACAATACAATATCATTACAATTATGATAATAAACGACACCGACAACGCCGATTGATAGCAGCACTGCCGCTATGGCGCATTGGCGCCTACTGGCTACGGGTGAAGATCGTGTGATGGCGCCATGGCGGTGAAGTGTATAGTTCACTGAGGATTGGCGCCTTGCCGTATAGGTCCCCTCAAATCATTTCAAAAACACAAATGTATTTATTATTGTCATTTTATAGCAATAGTTTATAATAGTTAATATTGGAACGATTTGTTGTTATTTTAAAATTACTAATTTAGGTATAATTTTCATTTTGCACAATTGTTTGCATCTTCAGTCCGACCGTCGGTCGTCTAATCCAAAAAATAAGAACAATTTATTTTATAAAAGAACTTATAAATCAATTCAAATTAAAAAATCTATAATATTGTGTTGTGTTATTTTTAATTTATTGATCTTATAGAAATAATACTATGTTTGATTATTGTACACCATAATTTAAGCAAGTATATTTTTTGTATTATTGTTAAGTTAATGGCTATTGCGCAATATTTATAATTTACTTAATACAGCCCTATTATATAGGTATGCACAAAGCCCTTGTTAGGCCTTGTGACAAGGACGCCAGCAGAATAGAAACCCGGGGGAGGCAAAGTCAAAAGTCTCTGATAATACAGCACATAATGTATATTTGTTTATAAGTGATAAAACAATTAATTTTAACTAAAACAGAGAGCGCCCTTGGGTATACACAATTCAAATTGTTTGGAGTATTATTATTGCAATACTATCATACATAATATATACATATATAACATCATATAAGTACATATGGATCATGGATGTGCAAGCTTATTGCTTGTGATACAAAGCCTTTATCATCTTTATAAATTATAATACTGAAATCTGCAAATTATTTTTATAAGTAAAGTATTAACAATTAACATTTTATATTATAATATTATATAATAGCCAAATGCTCACTGCTCATCGGAGGTTGTAGGACTTTAGGTACAAATGTACATTGCATACTATAAAATAAATGTAAATAGTGTGTATTATAACTGTTGAAAAACGTTCATTATACAATTTGATGTATCACCAGGATCTACTATACTTACTTAAAATTATAAAATGTAGATCACCTGCTACCACCCACGTATACTTCCATTATCTGTATTCATATCTGATTCTTATCAATAACCACAATTAGGCATATGGGGTCATGGGGATGGCTAGATTTCTAACTTGTTCTCTCTAAAAACGAGTTTAGACCCTTCCCAAAAATTATTCTAATAAATAAAATCGTTTATATTATCACATAATAGTTTTTAAAATATAATTTACAAGTTATAAAATTATTTATTTTTTTAAATTGATAAGAATTTGTTTTTGCCAATATCACTGCAACCACGACTTAGAGCAGCAGTTAGTTTAGATCAGCTAAACATAATACTATGGTAGTTATCTGATAATTTTAAATTAGAATTAACAAATCTTAGTTGGGTTAAAATCGTAGGTAGGCCAATTCAGCAATTGTTATGATGTAGGTTATTCAGGTTATTGGTTATATTACCTGATTTGAATTTTGAACAGTGGGTATATAAAACAAAATGAGAATTTGTAGAGCGGTTTTGTTATGATAATTAACTTACGAGCTATACATTATTATACAAGTACCTACTACCTATCTATAGTTTGTGTGTGTTAACCTTAAACATAAATATCAGAAAATAACATATTTAAAATGTTACGCTTACATCTTCTTAAACAAATTGATTTATTCGTATTGTACCTATTGAATTGATTATAACTACATTCAAAATTCTATAACTATATAGCCACAGCCCACAAGTCGGTTTTAAATAAATTTTAATTACTCTAATAAAGGTATTTCTACCTATGAGTACCTACCTCTTTTAGAAAATATTTTGAATTGTTTAAATGTAAAATAAATTACAAATCCAAATCAATTTATCATTTTTATTTTTATATCATTAAATATATTATTCATTGTAAGCCTCTAACTTTTTGTATTGCATTATTGAATATATTAAATTTACAACCTACTTTGGGCCACGGTTCGTTTTGCTATAAAAATTATGCATTTAGGTACGAGGTATCTCATAATATACATGACTATATTATATATTATCAAGAAAACGAGTGAAACTCATTTATTCTTGTTATTATATAACAGTTAATCTATATTCACTATCTCAAAAATGTAAGTCAATCTAAGCATAAATATTATATAAAGCATAAATATATATTTTATGATATAATATAATTTTACTATAGATTACAGACAAGACAAAATAGATTTAGTGGAAAATGTTAGTCAATATTCAGTTATACATAAATTAAAAATAACTTATATGGATAAGTTATTTATAATAACAAAGTTATATAGTACCTATTCGTTGATAAAATAAGTATCCGAAGTATACATTATTTATATGTTTTAAATTAATAAATAAGTTATTGTCTATTGACAACAATATACTATAAGTGTAAATATTTTAACATTCTATTGATGAATTAATAGCTTAACTAAACTATAATGGTAGGTATCTACTTTTACATTATAATTTATAACTTTGTGTCTGTGCATCAATATAATAAAATAACTATTTTCCAGTTTTTATAATTTCAGAAACACGGTGTTCTTTACTTTTTACTTTTTTAAAGTGCCGCGAATTTGAACTGTTTTCACCCCACCCTAATTATTATGAAAATATTTTAGTTATTATTTTATTAGATATACAATTTTTAATTTATAAAGTAAGTTAAGAATGTATAATAATAATCTACTACAGTCCATATTATATAACTTTGACATTTTGTGAATATATTATAGATACGAATGTGTTAATTATCTTTAGATGTAGTTAACAATGTACTTAGTAAATCGATGTTATATAATAAATAACCCAACATAACCTAACTTCAGTTGAAAGATTTTTTTATAAAAAAATACGTGTGATATGAGAAGGTATTTATAAATAATAATACCTATAATTACCTATTAGGACAACTATACAAATACAACGCAATTATAATATTGCACTTTGATGCTGTGATACTAAAAAAACAAGTTTTGGGAATAGTATAAATATTCATACGTATAGAAGAAAATAATCAAGTCTAGACTTAGTTTTCTGTTCTTCCTGTATTTACAGAAAGACCTTGTTCTGAAACCAAATTAACAAGGTAAACTAATTATTCTACCTACGAGTAGAAAAAATTAATAAATACGAGTATCGGCCGATTGTTATACATCGTATGCATTGACAAATGACGATATTATTTATGATACATACTATAGCTCTAATAATATTACTCTAACTAACTCTATGTATTATGGAGGTAGAATAAAAATATAATAGTTTAATGTTAAATATTTTTTTCATTAATCTACATTATACTTATTTATCTTATGTAATTTCTTGATGATTCTTTCTGTGTTTTTAATAAACATACTTATTATCCGGTAAACATCTAAATCGTGTCAAATTTTAAACAAGGCACTAGTGTACTACCTGTCTGTTGACGAAAAGCTACTATAGTCAATAAATAACCTGAAAATATATGTAGCTAGGTAAATAGATACCTAGGTTTCGTTATAAACGCTGAAAAATTATGAAATTACTTGTATCACGAACATAATTTTCTTTATCACAAATAGGATGACTATTAGTATGTTATTAATTACATTCTGTACAATTAATAATTTAAGCCTAAATTTCATAACAGGCCAGCATTTTTGGAGCTAAACCTCATTCTGCAGATGTAGAATGGTTAATTGCCTGTTGCAACATTATGAAAACCTCGAGAAAAATTTCTTTACCACCAGAAATCTTTAAAGATTTTCTTTATGTTCAAATTAATATGGTAACTGTCAATAATTTCAACCCGGAACCAGCTGTATTATTATGGTTGAATAAAAAAGATAGACATAACAAAAAACACACAAAGGCCACACAACCTTACTTTGAAGGTGTTTTTCCCGCAACTCAACGTCAAAGAAACCAAAATTTATCAGAAGTTAATAATATTATGTTCTAAGAAAGTTAATATTTTAAAAGATTATTTTTTGAAGTTCCTTTATAGTGGTAAAATATTATGGCACTATTTTAAAGCCATTGCTTTATAAGTTATAACAAAGAGGTTAAAATAAAATGTATAATAATAATAATGTGTTGAATGTTGATGATGTATTAGAGTAAATTTATATATAAATAAATTAATAGTAATTCGATTTTGTTCACAGTAATGAATCCATATTATATTTAATATTTATACATATTTTTATTTTATGTGTTATTAGTTGAAGAAGACCATAAGCATCGGTAATAGTTTAATTTAATCTTCTTTATTAACATTTTCTATATTTATTCAAAGATGTATAATCGCTTATAAAACTTTAATAACTATAGCTGTACGTTTGTACTCCTTACCCATTTTGGAGGTTTAAACTTTAAATAAGAAAAAATAAATAAACATTAAAAAATTGGCTTACGTTTTTCTATATTATCGTTACGATAAAAACGAGAAACAAAATAGTTAGATTGCTCAGCCTATTGACAATGTGTATACCCAATTTAGTATTATATTTTCGATGTTATTCTTGCTCGCTTTGCTCTATAGCGATGGAATACCTAGTCATGAACTCAAAATGATCAATGCCTATAAATTAGTTTTTACGATTAAACAATAATTATTTTATTGGTAAAACTACATTTTGTAAGACTTCTAAATGATAATTTATATTTTATTTATTTTTAGGATATAATTAATTTGTTAAATA